ACCTACACACAAACCCTAAACCCTAAACCCTAAACCCTAAACCCTAAACCCTAAACCCTAAACCCTAGGAGATAAACCATAGAAAAAAAAAAATAAAAAAAAAATAAAAAATGATAAAAAATTAACTAAAAACACGAATGTATTCACAGACGAAAACGTCTTCATCGCAAATCTAAACCCTAAACCCTAAACCCTAAACCCTAAACCCTAAACCCTCACCCAAACTGCGCATCAATGAGCAGCAGAGCAACATCAGCAACCTTCGCAGCATCAACTAAACCCCAAACCCTAAACCCTAAACCCTTCCCCTCCCTCCCCTTCCCCCCCAAACCCTAAACCCTAAACCCTAAACCCTAAACCCTCACCCAAACTGTGCATCAATAAGCAGCAGAGCAACATCAGCAACCTTTGCAGCATCAACTAAACCACAAATATCATTGGGGGCCTCTATAAATGCTAAACCCTAAACCCTAAACCCTAGCCCCCAAACCCTAAACCCTAAACCCTAAACCCTAAACCCTAAACCCTCACCCAAACTGTGCATCAATAAGCAGCAGAGCAACATCAGCAACCTTTGCAGCATCAACTAAACCACAAATATCATTGGGGGCCTCTATAAATGTAATTCTTTTTTTTTTTGTTGCTGTTAGGGTTATGGGGCCCCCTATACACCCCAATGTACTCTTACTATATGCACGCACTAAACTGCGAATCAATAGAGATTTTCCTACCTGCATGCACACATATAAATATAAATAAATAAATAAATAAATACATAAATAAATAAATAAATAAATATATTTGTTTGTTTGTTTATTTATTTATTTATTTGTTTGTTTGTTTTTTTTTTTTTTTGTTTTTTTGTTTATATAAATTTTACTATAAGCACGCACTAAACTGCGAATCAATAGAGATTTTCCTACCTGCATGCACATATATTTATATAAATAAATAAATAAAAAAATAAATAAATATGTATATAAATATATATATATATATATATATATATATATATATATACATCTGCATATACACCCCAATTATATACACAATATAAGATGCAAATAAGAGGAGACAAAAAAAGGAGACAGAAGAAAAAGAAACAAAAAAAAAAGAGAAAAAAAAAAGACAGAAAAAAAAGAAAAGACACAAAAATAAAAACAAAAAAAAAAGAGACAAAAAAAAGAAAAAAAATGAGACAAAAAAAAAGAGATAAAAAGGAGACAGAAAAAAAAGAAGAGACAGAAAAAAAAGAAAAAGGAGAAAAGGAGACAGCAGCACCAGCTGCTGCAGCTCTATACACAAAAAAAAAAAACAGAGGGGGCCCCCTGGGGGGCCCCTGGGGGCCCCCCGGGGGGCCCCCTGCATGCATCTGTACCCTGTGTATAAAGTACCTACCCCTGGGGGCCCCTGAACTACTACGTTGATGGGGGGTGGGGTTGTTGTGATTTTATTATATGTTTTTTGTGTTTGTTTGTTTGTTTGTCTATCTGCTGCCCTTTGTAATCTTCTTTGTACAGAGAGAACCCCCCCACTAAAAGTAAATGCTTTAGGGTTATGGCGTTTGTTTGTTGCTGCTGCTGCTGCTGCTGCTGCTGCTGCTGATGGTCCTCCTGCTGCTGCTGTTGCTGCTGCTGCTGCTGTTTTTTTTTTCTGCTGCTGGCGGGCTGCTTTTCTCCCCGCTTGCTTCGCCTTGTGGGCCCGGTGCTGCTGCGGCGTCTCCATATTTATTTATTTTTATTTGTCTCCTTTTGTTTTATTAAAATAAATTAATATTTATTTTTATATAACAAAAGGAGACAGAACGGAGACAAAAGGAGACAGACTGAGAAAAAAGAAAGAAACGAACGGGGAGAACCTGCTGCTCTTGTTGCTGCTGCTGCTGCTGTTCTT